CCCCAAAACCCCAAAACCCCAAAACCCCAAAACCCCTGGTGAAGCTAGTTTTATTGGAATAATAAATTATTGCAAAACATAAAGATGAAGAAACAGCCTGAAGCATCTGGAAACATATTCCAGAAATTCTTTGAAAGAGCCCTTGGGCCAAAAGATACTCCCAAGAAGAAGAAGAAAAAGCCAAGAAATCTCACTAAGGATGACATGCCAATTGTTAAATATAACCAAAAAGTTGCCAAATTCGGGAAGAACCCCAATTTAGGTAGCATTGAGAGTGGCTTGGCTGTCCTCTCCCAGAAGATCCTTAAGATAAATGATAGCCATTTTGAAGCTAACCAGATGTTCCAGAATAAGGAAGATTTAGATACTGCTCATCTCAATTACCAGGATTTTAAGAACATGCTTTCTTTAGATTTTGAAGATAAATGGCAATACAAGATAGTTTTGGAAGGAGGTATGCTTCTGTGTCAGATGAGAGACGTCCATCAGGAAAGAGACAACCTCGCTAAATATATCAAGAAATACATCAAGAAAGAGGTCAGAAATCGGAGCGATAGCCTAGAGAAATTAGAAGAAATGGCTGAAAATATCACACCTTTTAAGAAGGATATTCATAAGAATCAGGATTCTGAGCCAAATCCTTTAATACAAGTCCTTATTGATGTTCTGACGAAAGAGATCAAGCGTGTCAAGGAAGCATTCCAAGAAGCAAAAGAGAAGGTTTTAGAGAGTGAAAAGTAAGTTCTTTTACGACAGTGTTTACCCAAAAATTCATACTTCTGTTATCTGGAAATCATCAATTTCTAAATCTAGTGAAAATGAGCGAATCATAAAAGAGCTGGGCATTAAATGCAAGAAACTTGAAGTTAGTGAGAAATATCTGCAGAAGCAGGTCGAAAAGTTAACAGAACTAAACCTTGAGGCTGACCAGAAGTATTATGTACTCGAGCAATCAAAGCAAGAGCTTATTAAAATGCAAAATCATGATTATGAGAGCATGAAAAAGAAGAATAAAAATCTTTCCAATGAGTTCAATGCATTGCAGAAGTACTATGAGTCTAAAGTTAAGGAATGTGAGGATCTGGAGAAATACAACCAGTAAGTGATTCAGACATAAATTTTGATTACGACTTCACTCTTTAGAGACTGGATCGAACAGAATGTTCAACTGGAAAAGGAAATCAAAGAAAAGAATCAAATTATTGAAGATAAAGATGATGAAATATACAGAATTAGTCGGAATTTAAAAGCCAGTAATGCTGAGATTAAGAAACTTCAAGCCAAAAATGTCAGGCTAAATCACAACATCGGACTGGCTTCCAATAAATCTATTGCTGTGCTCCATGATAATCCTAATGCTGATTTTACTTTGTTCCAAGAAATACACAAAAAGTTGGGGTTGTCAGAAGAACAAGGAGACAAAGAATCTTTGAACAAGATAGGAGTGAAGATCTGTAGTTATCTTGCATTACAGGATTACAATGTGATAACATTCTTAAACAAATCCTTCACTGGATTCCTTACAAACAACACTCAGATGTTAAGGTTGACAAACCAAGTATGAACAAGGACTAACTCTAAGTACAAGAGAATGATACTCTCCATGAAGGAAAAGGTTTCATCCCTTGAGGAAGAACTCAGCAGGAACAAGAAGGTACTCTACCTAGACTATGAAGAATGTAAAAATGAAATTAAGAGCTTCCTTGCAGACTTTATGGTAGATGATTATGTTCCAGGCAAAAAGATTATAGATGAAATCGATCATTCTTGAAACATGATTATCAATTTTAGCAGGATTTCTAACGTTGAGGACCCAGTCGAGAGGATTAGAAAGGAAACAAGCAGTAATGGGGCCGCTAAGAAATTAGGATTCTTTAGAGAAAGTATTGCAGCTATTGGTCATAGCTTCGCTGCTGATACATCAAGAGAGAAAATGGCAGAACCTCAAAAGCAAGGGAATACTTCATTTAATGTAGAAAAAGTAGCAAACCCACCAAAGAAAGGACATCGTTCGAAAGGCATATTTGATACCTTATTCTATCCTCTAGAGGTCCGAACTGAGGATAAGAACCCTCCCAGTACATTTATTGACGAAAGAGGTCGGATGCCTTTAGGAGGGGAGCTTCAAGAACTTAAAAAGCCAAAAGAGACCAATGATATCCACCAAAACGAAGATGATTTCTTTGGTAAGCATCTTGAGTCACAAGATGCTCCATCACACAGAGGAACTGTGGTCCACAAAGACTCATCCTCATTAGGTGTGGCCAACATCACAAATCTGGATATATAATTTCATTCTACAAAGATAAATCAGGTGATTTGAAGAAATTACTCAAACAAATAGGAGGAATGCTTTCCAAAGCTCGGGATAGAAATAACCAAGCAAAATGGGTATCCTCCATCATTGAGAAATATGTAGACCTGTTATTATGTACAGCAATAACTATTGAAGAGATGAAGAAGCTCAACTCTATCAAGCACTTCTTTGCACTTAAGATCGAGAAATTTGTTGAGAAAAATAAAGAGACAGCAGCTCAGATATCTTCACTTGAAGCTAAAATAGAGGAGTGAAAGGCAGAAACTGAGAATGTAAGAGAAGAAGAAAGAAAAGCTCAGGTCAAGCTCATGCAGAAATCTGCTGAGTTCACTGTTCGAATGGATGAGTTACTCAACATTAAAGAAGAGAAAGACAAGGCTTTCCAGATGGCAAAGACTGCTGAGAAGAAGCTTAAAGAAAGCAAGAAGGTAACCCTTGATATAATTCTTTAGACCTATAAGAAAAATGTTAGTGCTTTAGTAAGCGAGAATACTGAATTACTCTATGAACGTAATGAACTTCAGGATATTGTCGAAGAGCTTGAGTTCAAAATGAGAATGTGTCTGGGCTAAGAAGTCTCTATTGCATAACTTTCTTCTATAATTCAACCCCATTTCGAGTTATATCTAGACTCTAGTTCTACTTCCTACATCAGCTCTACTTACTCGTACTGATCCGGTTTCCAAACTATAAGGTGTTTAGTTCAATGAGAAATATGTCAGTCGGGGTTTTGGGGTTTTGGGGTTTTGGGGTTTTGGGG